AAGTCATGCATATTGTAAAGTGCGTGTCAGATTTAACTTCGGGTGAATATGTGCTCTATGTTAAGTAATTAACTTGTTTTGTTCTAAATCAATATGTCCTGCAGTCTGTATGTGTCTATACATTGTTTTAATGTTGAGATAGATATTTTAATGACCTTCTCTGTTATTTGTGCAATCACTAATGTCTCAATTGTTATGATCCAACCAAGTGACCCTATATGCAGTAAGGTATATAAACAGAAGTTGCTGAAAAAAAAAAATCAGCAGATCTGGCAGTATCTGTGGCGAGAAATCAGAGTTAATGTTTCAGGTCCAATTCTGATGAAGGGTCACTAGACCGGAAACGTTAACTCTGATTTCTCTCCACAGATGCTGCCAGACCTGCTGAGCTTTTCCAGCAATTTCTGTTTATATACCTTACTGCATAGAGGGTCACTTGGCTGGATTTCTGATTTCTAGCATCTGCAGTTTTTTTTCCAGTTTTTATTTAGCAGTAACTGGCATCTGCCCAAAGCTGTCAGAATGTAACTTCCCCGAGAGATGCATTTCTGTGCAGGTGGAGAGTGGGGTGTAAGTAGTGTTATGGGTCAGGCCAAACCCTCTCAAAAAATATTAAGAAGATAGCCTAGACGCTATTTTTTTCTTCTTTTAAAGGCAAGTGCCAGGCAATGCATTCCAGATGCAGTTTGATTGGTCAAACTACCAGCCTTGAAGCAAAACACACTTTATTCATACACTATTATTAAAATGCAACAACAAAAGAAATTGGGATAATTAAACTCTGTTGATTTTATTGTCACATGTACTTTACAGTAAGAATACAATAAAATAGTGAAAAGCTTTCATTGGTCACCATGAAACTGCCTTGCCAACAACACCTACATCCTGAGAACGAATTCTTTAGTGGCTTTCTTGAATACAGGTTTGGGCTCAGGCTGTGATGATTTCTTCAAATGGAAAGCTAATGGGATGCTATTCTTTATTACAAGAAGAGTTGAACCTATAAGCAAGGATGGGAACCCTCTTGTGGTGCAGAGGTAGTGTCCCTACCACTGAACTGAGAGACTTGGCTCAAGTCCCATCTGCTCCACAGGTGTGTAATGACAGGTTGATTCAGAAAATAGGATATGAGCAAGGATGTTCTGCTTCAGTTATACCAGGCATGGGTGAGACCACATCTTACATAACGAGTCACTTGTCTTCCTTATTTTAAGGAAGGATGTGTATCCATTGCAAGTGTTTCAGAGGAAGTTTATTTGATTGATACCTGTAACAAGCAGGTTGTTTAATATGTAAAGGTTAGAGTGACTGGGCTTGTTTTCACCGGAGTTTTGAAGAGTGAAGGGGACTTAACTGCACTTTAGAAGTTCTTGAACAGGCAGCACAAGATTAACACAGAAAGATTGTTTCCACTTGTGGGTGAAACCATTGATAGGGGACACTCCTAGAAGTGTGACTCCTACTTTTAAATAGAGATGAGAATTTATTTCTTCTGACTAACACCTGCTACAGTGCAGGCACTAAATTCTTTGGCTTCCTGTTGTCGACAATTGGGTCAGAGATGAGGGTGAAAGATTACAGTGGTTGCCAGTACCTCTGGGACGTGCATGACAAACAAGCATACAGCAACTACAGCAGTTTGGCACATCAGACATCTCCCTCTGTGACAGCCCTGAAACGGGGTCGGTGGGGGGGGGGTTGTTCAGAAATGATCTGATAATGTTGCATGATGCACTAAATTACCAGCTATCAACAAAACCATTATTCAGTAAAATTCCTTTACACAAAGCAGCCATTGAAAGATCAAAAATTTTCATAATAGAAAGAACTTCGTGATAATCAAAAACATAAATCACTTTCTTTATCAAACGGTACATATCAGTACTAAGAGATGTAGGTTGATAGTGAAATAGTATCTCACACCAGGCATCCTTGAGCTTTAATTTGCTTTGCTTTGGCAAAGGTACCAATTGGAAGTCAATTACTTTGTAGACATGACCTTAGCAACCTAAAATGACATTTGGCTTGAAACAGAATGGACAGAAGTTGTTCAATTCTCACAAAACAAGGTTTGTTGTAGGAAAATGACAGCATTTTGTCAGTCAGAGATAGCAAGAATCACATAGAATCCCTACAGTGTGGAAGCAGGCCCTTTAGCCCAACAAGTTCACACCGACCCTCAGAACATCTCTTCCAGACCCAGAAGCCTATAACCCAACTATTCTATACATACCTGAACACCGGGCAATTTAGCATGGCCAATCCACCTCATCTACACATCTTTGGACTGTGGGAGGAAACCCACGCAGACACGGGAAGAATGTGAAAACTCCACACAGACAGTTGCCCGAGGGTGGAATTGAACCCAGCCCCTGGTGCTGTGAGGCAGCAGTGCTAACCACTGAGCCACCATGCTGCCCCAGAGAGGCCAGTATCTCATCACCAAATCACCCTTTATTTACTTGTGCCAGCTTGGAGTAAGTTGCCTAGACTGAGGAGATTCCCACCTCCTGGTTATATTAGTTAGCCAGGGCTTTCCTGATTGATTGGGGTTGTTAATGTGGGCCATTGATCCCGTAGTCAATGGTGTGTACCAGACTGTAGCCTATCTCTTGCATCTGGAGCATCTCGGGAGAATTTCCTCCTCTTCTTCTGATGGCAATGGTATCAAGGCTGCATTCATCTTGGACTCTGAGGTTTGCTTCATACTATACAGAGGGGAGAACCTGCACTTTCTGACAGGCCTTCTGGCTGTTCTGGGGGGCCAGGTAAGTTTTGCTCCTGCCCCGTTTGCAAGGTAACAGCTTTCAGGTGATCCTGCTGCCATTTCACCCTTAGCACTTCTTCCCACCCCAGGTCATGTTTAACCTAGTGCAGAGTCTTCTCCCCAATATTAACTCTGCTGGAGCTATCCCAGTTGTTGAGTATGGGGTATTGAACAGCAATTGGGACAGTTTGGTATCAAGTGATGCTGTAGGCTGCTTCTTTAAGCCTGCCTTCAACATTTGGACCTCTCTTTCAGCTTGACCACTGGACGATGGATGGTTTGGAATTGTCCTTATATGCCGAATGCTATTTGACTTTAGGAAATATTCAAAATCCCTGCTGGTAAATGACGTCCCATTGTCCGTAACCAATACTTCTGGGAGACTGTGTATCATGAATGATGCTCGCAGTTTCTTAATCGTCAACCCCGAGTTTGCCAAATGAACTTTATGCACGTCCAACCACTTTGAATGCATTCATGATGACCAGGAACATTGAGGCCATGAAGGGACCAACATATTTGACATGCAACCAAGTCCAGGATTTTCCCTACCATTCCCACGAATGTGGGGGCACTGCTGGTGGCCATTTTTGTCCTTGTTGGCACTCTAGGCACTGCCCCACCAACACAGCTATGTCAGCATCCAACCCCAACCACCAGATATAGTTTCTTGCTAGCATCTTCACCTTGGAAACCCCTGGATGATCCTGCTGGAGTTCGGCCAGTATCTCGTGGTGACTTTTGCTCGGGACAATCACTATTGCTCCCAAAAACTGCAGATACTGGAGTCAGAATCAAGACAGTGTGGAGCTGGAAGGGTCTAAGCCTGAAGCATTGACTTTCCTACTTCTCTGATGCTGCCTGACCTGCTGTGTTCATCCAGCATTTTGTCAGTGACTAATCCAGAGGCTGTAGTGTTAGATTGAAGTTGACCATCTCTTGTTCAGCAGGGGAGCAGGTAAAGAAATATTTTATGCAGAAAAATAAGAATGAATTTAAAAAAAAACTGCAACCATTGACATTATCAAACTGTATCAAATATCTTTGTGCCTTGAAATCAATATGGATCATTCACCATCTAAAATCTGCTTATATGGAAAAAAACTGCTTTTCTGGAAGGAAGGTTACATAACAGGCACCGTGCTTGAGAAATAATTTATTGTTCAATGTCAAAGTGTGAAGCTGTTATGCAATTCCGGTTCTTAATTATTTCAGTCAAAATATTATCCATATTACCTGTGCACATACTGAAGATTCTTAGGCTTATGGCAAAGCGGTAATGTCCATATCTCTGAAGCAGGAGGCCAGAGTTCAAGTCCCATCCGTTCCAGAGGTGTATAACATCTCTGAATAGGTTGATTTAAAAAACAAACTGAGGAAGTTAAGAGAGGCTATGCCAAACACTTCACTGTACTGAGCTTCCAGCTTTGATACCTTTGATTTTGGCTGCTATGTGTTAAAGGCTCCCATGGTGCAGTGGTACCTCTGGGCCAGGCCTGGGTTCAGATCCCACCTGCTTCAGATGTACATCATAACACATGCATCCCTTTTAATCAAAGTATCGAGATTGAAGATGCCCAACTGTTTCTGTCCTTCAGTAAATTGTGACCAGTGGTGGGACTCAACTGGTGCTTTTGATAGTGACTATCACTGGGCTAGTTGACCTCACAATTAAACCTGATCCCATCCTCAATAGGGGAAAATCACTGGATAATGATCATGAGTAGAAACTTTAACTGACTTTTCCCTCCCTTTTTGGATCGAAGATTTGTAACCACTTCCTGAAGCCCTGAATTAAGATCAGCCACCTTAGTACTAAAAGGGAGTCAAAACACGAGCCATAGTGGTCAGTCTGGTCAGTGCACTTGGCACAAGACACAAAGTCCCATTTTAACAGAATATTGTCTAATTTCCCACCTCTCCGCAACCAGCACTAAACTTGCTGAGAAATGAGTGTGTTTCACAGTGAATGTGCATCATCCTTATCAGACGTTGTGCATCTAGAGCAGGAAGAACGCCTTTAAAGTGAATTACAGGGTCAGTATATATTTAATTTTCTTTTCCATTCCATCCTAGGTGGGTAGCCCATTGGGATGTAAATTACCAAGGCCAACACAATATTCTGAAAAAGAGAAACTTCAGTAATTATACTGAGTGGGCAGCACTGCTGCTACGGTGGTCTCCATTTGTCATGTACATTTCCATTGTATTCATAAGTGAGTTACTATTATCACAAGAAACAAAAATCAATTTTATTATTCATTAACTTTGTAAGAGTGCAACTAATTAGCTGCAAAAATCTTTCACAATTTTTCACTTAAAGGCCGACACATTTATCTTGCAACAATACTCAAAATATGTCAATAGGCTTTCAGTCAGAAAAATACAACTACTATGTGTGTCCTGAAACAACTTGACCAGTCTGGTGATAAATACTAGCACTATTATTCTCATCTCAAAATTTCTTCACGTACCCCCAACTCCTCAACAAAGTCTCGAATGGCCAGCTTTACAAACCCTTCAGCAGCCTTTGTTAATTCTGAGTGTGCCTGCCAGAAGGGAGAAGAGCTTTTGTCAACTGTGTTTTCAGTTTTACCTACCAACTCTTCCGGAGCAAAAAATCACAAAAATGCAATCCATGTTTAGCTGGCTCTAAAACAAGTTCACTGTCCTGGCATCACCACCTTTCGAGCTCATTTCCGTTTGCACATGCCTTTATAGTGAATACTGCAGCTCATCACTAGCTCTCATTTCATCAACCAGGACACTGCAGGTTAGTGTTAACTATTGGCCACATAATTTAACTGATGAGCTCAACTTAAAATGAACTCTAATGAAAAACAAAACACAACATACATGTTATTTTCACAGACAAAGAAAAGCTGTTCACTTGCCATTAAGATGTTACAGGGCACACATTTTTCTTCTGTATGTTTTACACAGTTTTACAGTGTTTTAAAAATAACTATTACATTCACAGTTTCAATATCAGGCAAAAGCTTAAGAATTTATTTGAAGCTGCGAGGCAGTATCTCAAGATCTTGACCATAATAACCTAAAAGCACATTCATGGATTTACTGATAACGCTACAATAGTAAAATAATACATATGTTTATAAAGCAGTCATTAATCCATCTCCCATATATTAAGAATCTGCATACATTTGATGTCAACTTATTTTCTCCATTGTAAATTCTTGTGTCCGTGACGATAATTTAAAGTTTTAATCATAAAATGTGCCACACTGAAATTATACATACCTGCAATTGGAGGTCTTGCAGCATTACCACTGCCAGGACACTTTAAAGACAGTGCATTGTATTTAAATTGGAATTTATAGCGGATATATAAAATAAAAGCAGAATTTGTAACTTCAAAGTAGGCATCAAATTATCTCTAGTCCTGTCAAATTATATTCAATCTTCTAAACCTGCTTTCACCTAAAGACAAATCTCTTAAGGTGTTACCATAGGAAACCCACTCTTTCAAAATAAATCAGTTGAGAGCTACCCACAAAGGAATATCATGCAAATATATGATTTTACTCTTAAAAAAACTAAACGAAAACCTTTTAGATGGTTTCAGACACAAGAGAAGGATCATTTTGCTTGCAGTACCTTAAGGGATCATTAATCAAAATATTCAATTTTGGAGAATGCTCAAATATGCAGCTTCATACCTAATGCTATAGAGTCAACATTTGGTGTGGTTTGAATGAGCGCAGAGAGTCATGGTGCATTTCATTCAAGATTGGATAGTACTTCTCATGAACGGCTTCATGAACCACTGAAGACCCACGTGACCTGGCACAGTGCCACCTCTATGTTAAAAGGCACACAAAAAGTCAACAAAATGGTGGCTCTTTTGAAAAAGGCGTGGTTACGATATAAATGCATCCCATACAAACATTTTTGGCTTGACTAGTGGACTCAGTGGAATAGGCCACAATGCTGGGAACTCAGAAGATAACTGCATTTTAAAAACACAAGCGATAACTGAATTAAACTCAGCGTTGTATAATTCTACACTCCTGCTCTGCTTGTTTGGAGGCAAGTCTCAGTAACTGACACCGACATATTGTCTTGGAGTCAGGCTCCATGAATTCACAAAGTTAACCTACAGGTGGGATACACCTGTAGGCTGCAAATTAGCTGCATTTGTGCAAGTCAATAACAGAGTGATTGTGGATAATCTCAAATACAGCGACTGTGAATCACAATGAAGAGACTAGCTGACTGAAGTTGATGATTACAGGCTGCAGTAACTGCTCTTCATGGCTTTATAATCAAAAAAAAACAAAGTTGTCAACATCTTGTAGAACATTAAAATCTCTTCCAAAACGCAACAAAGAATGTATCCATGCAGAAGCAAAACACTGAACCACATCCAACTCACCCTCATTATTAAATACAACTCTATTATTCAACATATTTAACACTATTATTTCAAAGGCATATAGCTCAAGGCCAACAATCTTCAATTCTTTTGTAGTTCTTTTACGTAAGAATGTTTGTCACAAAATACTGCTGTGGTATCAGTTACCCACCATTAGAGAACCACAGTGAGGCTCACAAACAGTAAAGTCTCGAATTAGCTGAGAACAGATATGACAGGATTCATACATACTCCACAGACCTAACTGACTTTTAAATTTGCCTGTTGTTCTGATGTTCTTACAACAATGCTTCAATAAAAGCTCAGCACTGTAGAATCTCAGGCCCACTTTTATTCCTCAGCCACATTGCGGCATTTTAGTTTAAAATGTTCTTAATCCAAAAATTCTTCAATGTTTTACTGTATCAAAAATGTTTATGACACTTAACTTGCTGTATAAAGGTAACAAATTCCCATTTTCTTTTCATCTTCAGTCTTTCTTTGTTTCTCTCAAGAAAGAGGCATAGCAAGGAGGATAACTATTTCAAATGCACTCAATATCGCAATAGTTAGCAAGCTGCAGGCTCAGAGATGGCAGAATCTGTCCCCTGAGGCAACCATCTTTCCAGTGCACATATATTGAAAACTATGAGCTCTGATACACTGCTGTAAAGAATGAAGTCTCTGAATACAAGTGCAGTTCAACACTCCAGCTTAAAATGAAATTTTGTTTGTACAACTTCTTTGCATTCTTTTCTGAAAATTGACCCATTTAGGAGTTGCATTCTTCTTCATCCTCCTCCTCTTCCTCATTTTCCTGCGATGCACTTCTAACAGACTGTAATGTGCTCAACTGAAGCTGGGTTTGATTGATAACACTTGCATCATCTACCTGCATTGAGGACTGCAGAAAGAAACAAACACAGCCATCAACTGAAATATATCACAATAGTGGCAATGTCAGACCAGGCTAAAACTTTAACATCTCTAGTTTCTCATGTGCTGAGAATACTACTTCTTGACTATCATTCTGATGTAAAAGATTATACTTCAGAATCAAAGTAAATGCCGTCCCATTCTCCTGTTCAAAGATGCGCAGGTTAGCTGGATTAGCCATGGGAAATGCAGGGTTACAGGGATACTGTAGGGAGGTGGGTCTGGGTGGGATGCCCCTTTTGAGGGTTGGTGTAAACTTGATGGGCCAAATGGCCTGCTTCCAAACTATTAGTCCACATTGTGGACATTAGTGAACCAGATGGACATTGGATTAATGGTTATCATTAGACTCGTAATTACAGATATTTATTAAATTCAAATTCTACCATCTATTTCAGGGTTCGAACCTGGGTCCCCAAAACATTACCTGGGTCTTTGGATTAATAGTTCAGCGATATTACCACTAGGTTGTCTCCCTGTACTTAAATGATTGGTAAAAGAACCAAAAGGGAAATAATTTAAAAAAAACACAGCTCAGCTTTTTCGATGAAGAATCCTATAAGTCATATTTCACAGGTTTTTTTTCCCTGGAACCCTACTATTTTCTCAGAGAAGAAATAGAAGACAGAGTGACCAAATGATGGGTGGAATGAAGCAAGGACAGCACAAGCCAATATCAGATGGGGATGTAGAATTAAAAACACAAAAGTTATTAAACATGCATTTGCAGAGTGCTGGTTACCTGAAATTTTAAAAGAAAAACGTACTAACATTGATAGCTCAGGTCAGATTTCTCACCTGTACAGGTTCAGCTGCTTGACCACCGTTATCATTGTCGTCATCACCATCTTCCCTAGTCATGATCATCGAGCGAAGGGCCAACTCTTCTACCTAAAAAGGTACACACATACCCACTTACCACAAGGATACTTTCCAAAAGAATGCTAGCATCCCTGGATGAGGGCGTAGAAGGATGGGTTAGTAAATTTGCAGATGACACTAAGGTCGGTGGAGTTTTGGATGGTGCGGAAGGATGTTGCAGGTTACAGAGGGACATAGATAAGCTGCAGAGCTGGGCTGAGAGGTGGCAAATGGAGTTTAATGTGGAAAAGTGTGAGGTGATTCACTTTGGAAGGAGTAACAGGACTACAGAGTACTGGGCTAATGGTAAGATTCTTGGTAGTGTGGATGAGCAGAGAAATCTCGGTGTCCATGTGCATCGATCCCTGAAAGTTGCCACCCAGGTTGATAGGGCTGTTAAGAAGGCGTACGGTGTGTTAGGTTTTATTGGTAGACGGATTGAGTTTCGGAGCCATGAGGTCATGTTGCAGCTGTACAAAACTCTGGTGCGGCCGCACTTGGAGTATTGCGTACAGTTCTGGTTGCCGCATTATAGGAAGGATGTGGAAGCATTGGAAAGGGTGCAGAGGAGATTTACCAGGATATTGCCTGGTATGGAGGGTAGGTCTTATGAGGAAAGGCTGAGGGACTTGTTTTTGTTAGAGAGAAGAAGGTTAAGAGGTGACTTAATAGAGACATACAAGATGATCAGAGGATTAGATAGGGTGGACAGCGAGAGCCTTTTTCCTTGGATGGTGACGGCTAGCATGAGGGGACATAGCTCTAAATTGAGGGGTGATAGATATAGGACAGATGTCAGAGGTAGGTTCTTTACTCAGAGAGTAGTAAGGGGGTGGAATGCCCTGCCTGCAACAGTAGTAGACTCGCCAACTTTAAGGGCATTTAAATGGTCATTGGATAAACATATGGATGATAATGGAATAGTGTAGGTTAGATGGGCTTCAGATTGGTTCCACAGGTCGGTGCAACATCGAGGGCCGAAGGGCCTGTACTGCGCTGTAATGTTCTATATTCTACATTCATGTCGCGTCTTTAAGATACCAAGCCTACCATGACACGTAGACAGGAATAAAGCTGCACTGAGCTATGGGAAGGGACTAACAAACAAGAAATCGTGCAACCTCTAATTTAATTAGATCACTGCAGGTCTGTACCTTAATTACACGTATGTGTCTTTTATGGCATCATATCCCCCTACCAGCTGCAGATTAATGCAGCTGATTATTTGGCTAGCCCTGTCAGGGCCAGGGCATTAGAATCCCATAATCCATTACAGGCAGGTGGGCTGGGGCACCCAAAGCTTTGAAATGAATAGCAAAAAGGTTTGGAGGGATATGGGCCAGGAGCAGGCAGGTGGGACTAGTTTAGTTTGGGATTATGTTTGGTGTGGACTGGTTGGACTTAAGGGTCTGTTTCGGAGCTGTATGATTCTATGGGAACATGCTGCTTGACATCAAACCAGAATTTAGAATCAGAGTTCGACTCCTCTGCAATGTGTCTAGCTTTCCACTGATTGACCCTGAAGCAACACTAACCATTAAATTCTCACACAACTTGTTACCTTTACTTGAAACAAAATCATTTCATAATCTTCCAGTGACTCTACATATCTACAGTTTTGTTTGGGGCTGTGGGGTGTGGTGGCTTTTCCACTACCCTCTTTCTGAGTAAATGTTTACTGGTATTGTTCTTAAATGGTCTAATTTTAATTATAAGATTAAAATCCTTTTTCCTAAATATCCCCTTAGATGCAATTGTTTTCCTGTGTTTAGATTTGAAAGATTAGCTGAGCTAAATTCCTGGCTGCTGTGCAACAGAAATGACTTAACAGTTTGTTTACACTTTAGGATGGGGTATAGCCGAACAGGATTTTAAGGAACACCTGCAGCCAGTCGCTGGCGCTGTGATGTTTGTAAAGACGTAATCAATTAGGAACTTTAATGCCAGCTCAGCTCAATTTATAGCAGCAAGAGTAAGAGGGTACTGCACCTTTAGAGGTCCTGACTTTATGATAAGACTCCCACTACCACATAAGTTTCATGTAAAAATTTGACATGTCACTGCCAGTGAGTGCTGCTCAGCATTTCTTCCTCAACCAGAAACTTGCCAGGTATAAGACCATAAGAAAAAAGGAGGTGGAGTAGGCCATCTAGCCCTCTAAGCCTGTTCCACCATTCAATAAGATCATGACATGATCTTTTTGTGTCTCAGCTCCACTTACCTGCCCGCTCACCATAACCCTTAATTCCTTTACTGTTCAAAAATCTATCTTTTCCTTAAAAACATTCAATGAGGTAGCCTGAACTGCCTCACTAGGCAGGGAATTCCACAGATTCACAATCCTTTGGGTGAAGAAGTTCCTCGTCAACTCAGTTCTAAATCTGCTCCCCCTTAGTTTGAAGCTGTGCCCCCTAGTTTTAGTTTCACCTGCAAATGGAAACAACCTCCCTTCTTCTATCCTATCTATTCCCTTCATAATTCTATTTGTTTCTGTAAGATACCCCTCATTCTTCTAAATTCCAATGAATATAGTCCCAGTCTACTCAATCTCTCCTCATAGGGGAAGCCTCTCAACTCCAGACTCTGTTTGCCTGGAATAGCAACAGTTAGTCACACATGGGAAAGGTGCGGAAACACCCCGAGACCTCAGATGAATTATAAACTGCAAGCTCCCAGTGAATGAATGGCACAAACATGGAGAAGTGAAGAAAACACCTTTTAAAATAAAGTAAATAATTCAATGTTCTACCCAATCCGAGCTGTAGCTTGTTTATTCTTATCCCATCAGAGATGAATGTATATATCAGCCCTATGCAACACTGCCGGATCTGCTGATATAGAGTTACTGAAATATGCTACAACAAAGCAAATGCAATCAAATTAAGCAGTTCAGGGACATTGTTATTTTAATCACAGGAGAGAACAAAGACTAAGACTCAAGAGTGTGTTTGAAAACAACAAATGCTGGAGATCACAGCGGGTCACACAGCATCCATGGAGAGACAGCAGGCTAACATTTCGAGTCTAGATGACTCTTCATCGGAGCTGACATGATTGTTGGATGGGACAGCATTTATGCTATAGTTTTGGTGGGGGGGACACATGGATGCAGAGAGTGGAGAGTGCTGATGAAGAAAAGATGTTGATAGTTCAGATTAAATGATCAGAAGCACCTCCCACCCTAAATTGTCTCAGTGCAGCAGGAGCAAACAATGTCAAAAATGAGGCAATGGATTTGGGGAGGAGGAGGTCCATGAACTTTACTGCCTGTCTGTGCTATACCTCACTGGGGAACATCTGTTATGGCCCTGCTTGTAAAGGCACTTCATCCACCTACAGGGAAGAGCAAAATGTAAATATTTAAATAAATAATATGGGATATTTGTTGTATGTAGGTATACCTTGAGTCGGTTCAATTGATCTTGTAGAGTGGTTTTGGCTTTCAGTAGAGCTTCTTCTTCTTTCTTCAACTCCTGCAGTCGGCTGAGCATTCTGAGTCCTTCGGAGTTTTAACGTTCACCTGCAGGAGAAATAACTGCACCTTATGGAGAATGGTGCAACAAGATTCTGTGGATTGTACATTGCACTCTCTGTAACAGCAGCAGCCTGTGAAGACCAGGATACAGGAGAGCACTGCACACTGCTAATGAACATCAGAAAGGGGCATCAAATGAAACAGAGATTCTCACTGCCAGGCCAGTCAACACCTAGAACAGAAAGATACATTAGCAGTTTTGATGGACTTGCGTACACAATGCTAACTAATTTTTTATGATATCACTCTAGCACACTGGTCATTTACACCATTTTAAAGAGCAAAGGCATTTACACCCCACCTACACCCTATCCTGTCTAAACAAATGCCTCTTAAATAGATAATGTCTAGGATTTCCCCACCATGCTACCAACCCCAGGTTTAGAAGATTCATGGATAATCTAATTGACAGGTATAAAATGATGTGTTAGGGTCAATGGAGGGAAGATATTTACTATAACTAGAAAAAATGGGGATGCAACCTTAAAATTAAAGTTAGGTAATTCTGGAGTGAGATCAAGAAACAGCCTTTTTCACACTAGTCACAGGCCTCCAGTCCAACAAGTATCCTTCCACTATTACTGTCTGCTTCCTACTTTCAAGCCAATTGTGTATCCAATTTGCCAGCTCTCCATGCAATCCAACCTTCCAGAACAGCCTACTATGTGGAACCTTATCAAAGGCTTTACTGAAATCTATGTAGACTATGTCTACTGCCCTGCCCTCATCAACCTTCCTGGTCACTTCAAAGAACTCTAAGAAATCTGTGAGGCATGATCTCCCACGCACAAAGTCATGCTGACTACTCCTAATCAAACCCTGTCTTTCTAAATGCATGTATATCTTGTCTCAGAATCTTCTCAAGTAGCTTACCTATCACAGATGTTAAGCTTACTGATCTATAATTCCCAGAACTTTCTTTGCAGCCTATCTTGAATAAGGGCACAACATTTGCTACCCTCTAGTTTTCAGGGACCTCATTCGTGGCTATCAATGATGCAAATATATCAGCCAGGGCCCCTGCAATTTCTTCCCTAGCTTCTTGCGGGGTTCTTGGATATATATGATCAGGACCAGGAAATTTATCTTCTCCTTCATACATGCTACTATGTACAACACCTCCTCTACTGTGATATGGCCTGTGCCCAAGATATCGCCACCAACTTCCCCAAGTTCCCAAGTCTTCATATTTTTCTCCACGGTAAACACAGGAGAAATATTTATTGAAGATCTCGCCCATCTCTTGCGGTTCCACACACGTGTCTACTTTGGACCTTGAGGGGTCCTATTTTTTCTCTAGTTATTCTTTTTCCTCTAAGATACTTAAAGAAACTCTTTGGATTCACCCTAATCTTCTCAGCCAATGCCATCTCGTGCCTCCTTTTCGCCCTCCTGATTTCCTTCTTCAGTAAACCCCCTGCATACCTCCAGGGATTCCCTTGATCCCAGCTGCCTGTTCCTCAGCCATACCTCCTCCTTTTTTCTGGTCAAAGCCTCAATATCTCTTGTCATCCAGGATTCCCTACTTCTGCCAACCTTGCCCTTCACCCTCACAGGAACATATAGACCTTTAACTCTAGCTATCACACTTTTAAAGGCCTCCCACTTGCCAGAGGTTCCTTTGCCTGCTATCAAACTACTCCAATCAACTACTGCAAGCGCCTGTCTAATTCCATCAAAATTCACCTTGCCCCAATTTAGAAGTTGAATCTGTGGACCATAACTATTTTAAAATTAATAGAACTACGGTCACTGGTCCCAAAGTGCACCCTCACCGTCACTTCAGTCACCTGTCCTGCCCTATTTCCCAAGAGTAGGTCGGGTTTTGCCCCTTCCCGAGTAGGATCCTCTATATACTGCTTGAAGAAACTTTCTTGAACACATTTAACAAATTCTACCCCATCTAAGCCCTTAACACTATGGCAGTCCCAGTCTCTGTTCGGAAAATTAAAATTCCCCACTATGACAAACCTATTGCTCCGGCAAGTCTCCCCAGTCTCCCTGCATATTTGTTCCTTTAATTCCTGTTGACTGTTTGGGGGCCTACAGTACAACCCCAATGTCATCACCATCCCCTCCTTATTTCTTAGCTCCACCCACAAAGCCTCACTAGATGATCCCTCAGTTATTTCATCTCTGACTAATGCTGTGATACTCCCCTTAATCAAAAATGCAACTCCCCCTCCTCTCTTTCCTCCACCTCTGTCCTGCTTAAAACACCTGTACCTTGGTACATTAAGCTGTCAGTCCTGTCCCTCCCTTAGCCATGTTCCTGTAATGGCTATAATATCCCAGTCCCACATACTTATTTACGCCCTGAGTTCACCAGCCTTACCTATCAGCCGTCTTGCATTGAAATAGATGCAATTTAATCCAATAGGCATTCCTTGCTCCCTGTCCTGTTTCAGCCTGACTTGTCTCTTCAACTTGCCATTTCTGATTACTGTATCTCCTTCCAGCCTCACACTTGCCTCGCTGCTATTGAGGATTGCAACCCCCTGCCAATCAAGTTTAAACCCCCCCCTTGCAGCGCTAGCAAATCTGTCTGCCAGATATTGGCCCTCCTCCACTTCAGGTGCAACCCATCCCTCTTGAACAGGCCACGTCTACCCTAGAAAAGATCCCAATGATCCAGGAATCTGAATCCCAGCCCCCGGAACCAATTCTTTAGCCAGGCATTCATCTGCCATATCCTCCTATTCTTACCCTCACTAGCATGTGGCACTGGAAGTAATCCGGAGATTACTACTGTCAAGGTCCTGGTTTTTAAACTTTATTCCTAGCTCTCTATAATCACTCTACACGACCTTATCCCTATTTCTACCTATGTCATTTGTGTCAATGTGCACAAATAAGTACTCTGTGATACCAGGTCCACAACAATCCACTCCTCAGTGTGGGTAATAGCTTCCAGGATCTAACGTAAACAATGAAGTGATACCTCTCCTTCTTGGTCACCCTCTGCTGGATGGTTGAGGTACAGATTGAGTATAAAAGAATGGTGGAAATGGCTCAAGAAGCCAAATGGTCACTAAATACTCTCTACAAGAATCACAACCATGAATAGGAGCTATGAATTTTGGCAAAGTTTTGTCCTCAATTCGCTCATGGGATTTGGGTGTTGCTGGCTATGCCAGAATTTATTGCCCATATTTATTCGTCTTGGAGAAGCAGCACGTTCCCTTTTGAACCAATCTGTCAGGTGGAAGGAACCCATAGTACTGTTAGGAAGTTCCAGGATTTCAGCCCAGTGACAGTGAAGGAATGGCGATATATATCCAAGTCAGGATGGTGAGTGGTTAGAGGGAATCTTATAGGTGGTGTTCCCATGTATCTGCTGCCCTGTCCTTCTAGATGGTGGTGGTCACAGGTTTGAAAATTACTGACTAAGAAGCCTTGGTGAGTTGCAATGCATCTTGTAGATAGTATACACTGCTGCTGATTGGTGGTGGTGTTGGGAGTGAAAGTTGGATGGTGTGCCAATCAGCGTGCCAGTTTGTCCTGATTTGTGTCAAGCTTCTTGAGTATTGTAGGAACTGCACTCATCCTGACTTATGCCTAGTAGATGTTGGACTGGCTTTGGCGAAACTGGAGGCCCCCACTCCTTAAGTCTCACTGCACATTTGGAATTGACCACAATTTTTCACTTTCACTATCTGCTTCTCAAGAGACACTCCATCATGGATTGCCTCAACTGTTCCTGTTCTGGTCGATCAACCTCCTTTCCTAAAGCTATGCTCTGCACTCCGTCATTCACCAGCAGCTAGCTTTAGCAAACTGAAACTACCCTTGCATTTCTTCTAAGCTCTAAGCTGGCTAAATCAAACACTCTGTGAATACTGCTTGTTTTCAAAAGCCCGACTCACTCACCTGTAGCATATTAATGTTCAAAAACTTCTTCTAATCCCACTACAGTTTCCCCAGCACACAGCTAGTAACCTTCCCACTTTCTCAGCTCTTTAGAAGTGCTCAGTCCTGTACTTAGCCATCTCCTAAAACTGGAACATTTTCCTGAACTCTAACAGCACAGTGCATCAAGCTGCTGTCAATTTATCACCGAGTCTCCTACACAGGATCAGTATAGTTCACAGCAGTATAGCTGGCTGCCACACTTCTAGCACAGTATATTTCAGTTTGTCTCTTTATCCAACTAACTGTAACCTTTGAAATCTTTGACCCCAAACTGTCCTGAGTGGCTACCACAGTGCAAAGAAATACTTACAAAAAGGAGAATTTATCAAAAACTGATTATCAAAAGATGCTAGATGAGGCTTTGTCCTGAATGGTATCACTTTTAGTGTTAGAATCATAGTTGGAGCTACACTCACCCAGGAAAATGGAGAGTATTCCACTGTATCTGACTTGTGCCTTGTAGATGGTGAACAGGTGAGTCCACTCACCACAGAATTTCAAATATCTGATCTGCTCTCATTATTGTAGTATTTATATGCTTGTCCAGTTCATTTTCTGGTCATTGGTAACTCCCAGATTGTTGTTAGTGCGGGACTTGATAATGGTAATGCGATTAATTGTCAGGCGTGAAATGGTTGGATTCTCGCTTGTTGGAGTTGGCCATTATCTAACATTTGTCATTGCAAGATGCACGATGGAATTTAAAATTTGACTTAAGTCAGACAAGGGAGTTATTAAAAGAGGTGAATAACACTGAGAAAGAGAAAATAATGACCCTACTAAATGTCTACATGCTACATATCTGAAAATTGCCAGGAGTGGAAACCATGGTCATTTCTGCCCAAATTCTAGGAATGTGGAACAAGAATTTGCATTTATATAACACCTTCCACAATCAATGACTCAAAGTTCTTTAGAACCATTAAGTGTAGACCATAATGTAACATAGAAAATAAGGCAGACCATTTGCAGGTGACAGAATCCCACAGCAGTAATGCAGTGATGGCCAGGGAATGTGTTTTTCGCCATGTTCATTGAGGGATAAAAATTGGCTAGACCACCAAAGTGTTAAACTTTCCTGATCTCTTTGAAATAGTGGCAGTGGAATATCTTGTATAAATCCATGTAGGAAGATGGTGCCTTAGTTTAACATTTAATCTGAATGACATTAGCTTTGACAATGAAGCACTCCCTCAGATGGCAGTCAATTCTTGGGCTCAGATTTGAACTCTTAAACCTTGGTACTAAAACTTGTTAACACCAGTGCTCCAGCTCAAAGTGGGGCCTGCATTAATAACCTAGAGCTCTGATATACGTTCAGTTTCACTTCAGCAAAGAGATCAAACCAAATCTTGAACACTAACCAGTCAAACTTAGCCCTCAGTTACCCATGATCCAAAACCCACTCCCCAATCCTTCAACGAAACCAACCCCAAGGGGCTCCGTCCCATCTTTCAACCAAACCAGCCCCCAGCCCCCCGCCCCCCCCCCCCCCCCCCCCAGCCCCCCCCCCTGACCTCAGGTGGACCATCGAATTCCAAGGATGAGCTGCCGGCATTGCCCACACAGCTCCCTGGTACAACAATTTGTGACTCCTCCTGCTTTTCCGCCGCCATCCCTATCCCTTATCCTTCCCTTACCTCAATCTCAGCCAATTTCCAGGAAGTAACATCTGTCTAATCCAGTCACACAACGTCACTTCCGACGATATACACACGCGCAGTAACGACTTCTCTACGGCGATATGTTCAGGGCAGACCCCGCCCCCGACACACCAGGCCCCACCCAGTGCACCAGACCCCGCCCCGTGACGGAACAGACCCCGCCCCCAACACACCAGGACCCACCCAGTGTGCACCAGACCCCGCCCCCTGACGGAACAGACCCCGCCCCCGACACACCAGGACCCACCCAGTGTGCACCAGACCCCGCCCCCTGAACACATCAGAGATTATGAACTGGAGATGCTGGAGTCAGAGATAACACAGTGTGGAGCTGCAGGAACGCAGCAGGTCAGGCAGCATCAGAGGAGCAGGAAAGCTGGCATTTCGGGCCTAGACCCTTCTTCAGAAATGGGGAGGGGGAAGGGAACTCTAAAATAAATAGAGGAGAGGTGGGGCTAGGGAAGGTAGGTGGGATGGTGATAGGTGAGTGCAGGTAGGGAGTGGTAGGGATGGGTCAGTGAGGTGGGAGAGATGATGGGCTGGTTGTGTCAGGTGAAGGATGCGGGGATGAGAGGGAGGGTTGGTCATGGGATGAGGATGAGGCTGGGGGTGGGGAGATTTTGAAACTGGTGAAGTCCATGTTTAGGCCGTTGGGTTCCCAAGGCGGAATAGGAGGTGCTGCTCCTCCAGTTTGCGGGTGGCGTCATTGTGACACTGGAGGAGGCTCAGGATGGACATGTCACCCAGGGAGAAGGAGAGGGAGTGGGAGTTGAAACGGTTGGTGACGGAAGGTGTTGTCGTTTGTCGCGTACAAAGCGGTCTCTGGTCTCCAAGCCTCCGCTTGGTCTCACCGATGTAGAGGAGGCTGCATCGGGAGCAGCGGATGCAAAAGAACACCTTGACAGATGTGCAGGTGAACCTCTGTCTGATGTGAAATGTTTGTTTGGTGCCTTGAATGGATGTGTAGGGGCAGGTGTAGCACTTCCTGCGGTTGCAGGGTAAGTTGCCGGGGGTGGTGGGGGTAGTGGGGAGTGTGGAGTGGATGAGGGAGTTGTGGAGAGCGTGGTCCTTATGAAAGGCAGATAGGGGTGGAGGTGGAAATATATCTTTGGTTGTGGGATCGGATTGCTGGTGGCGGAAGTGGCGGAGAATGATATGTTGGATATGGAGGTTAGCGGGGTGATATGTGAGGACAAAGTCGATTCTGTATTTGTTTTTGTTGGGGGCAGGGGATAGTTGTGGAAAACGCAAGAGATGCAGTTGAGAGCATTTTTGACCACCGAAGGGGGTAAGTTGCGGTCCTTGGAATAAGAGGACTTCTGGTATACTTGGGAGTGGAACTCCCCATCTTGGGAGCAGACGCGGTGGAGGCGGAGATATTGGGAGTTGGGGATTAATTCTGGCAGGAAGGTGGATGAGAGGAGGTGTAGTCTAGGTAGCTGTGGGAGTTGGTGGGCTTGAAATAGATGTAGGTTTCGAGGTGGCCACCAGAGATGGAGACAGAGAGGTCCAGGAAGGAGAGAGAGGTATCAGAGATGGTCCAGGTGAACTTGAGGTTGGGGTGAAAGCTTTTAGTATAGTTGATGAACTGTTCAGGCTCCTCATGGGAGCCTGAGGCAGCGCCGATACAGTCATCAATGTAGCGGAGGAAGAGGTGGGGGATAGGGCCAGTGTAGCTGTGGAAGAGGGACTGTTCCATGTATCCTATGAAGAGGCAGGCATAGCTTGGGCCTATGCGGGTTCTCATGGCTACCGCCTTAATCTGTAGGAAGTGGGAGGAGTTGAAGAAGAAGTTGTTAAGGGTAAGGACGAGTTCGGTTCAGCGGATGAGGGTTTCGGTGGAGGGGGATTGGTTGGGCCTGCGGGAGAGAAAGAAGCTGAGGGCTTTTAGGCTATCCATGTGGGGAATGCAAGTGAATAGGGATTGGATGTCCATAGTGAAGATGAGGTGTTGGGGGCCAGGGAAGTGGAAGTCTTGGAGGAGGTGGAGGGCATGGGTGGTGTCCCGGACATAGGTGGGGACAAAACAGAGTCAAAGTAAGCATAGATAAGTTTAGTGGGGCAGGAGCAGGCAGAGACAATGGGTCAGCCGGGGCAGTCAGTTTTGTGGATTTTGGGAAGGAGATAGAAATGGGTGTTGCAGGGTTGGGAAACGATGAGGTTGGAGGCTGTGGGCGGGAGTTCGCCTGAGGTGATGAAGTTGTGAATGGTTTGAGAGATGATGTTTTGGTGGTGAGGGGGTGGTAGGAGGAGGTGTCAGAGAGTTGGTGCCTGGCCTCAGCGATGTAAAGGTAGTGCGCCATACCACTACTGCACCCCCTTTATCTGCAGGTTTGATAGTGAGATTAGGGTTGGAGCGGAGGACTGCATGTTCCGTGGAGGAGAGATTGGAGTGAGTGAGAGGGGTGGAGAGGTTGAGGTGATTGATGTCGTGACTGCAGTTGGAGATGGAGATTGAGGTTGAGGGAGGGTAGGGGGCCTTTGGGTGGTGTCCTGAAGGATGGGGTGTGTTGGAGGCGGGAGAAGGGGTCTGTAGAGGGTGGGTTAGACGCGCGGTTAAAGAAATAGGCGCAGAGGCAGAGGTGGTGGAAAAAGTCATTGATGTCCAAGCATGATTAGAATTCATTGAAGTGTGGGCGGAGAGGAATGAACATGGGTCCTTCAGTGAGGACTGATTGTTCGTCCTCAGTGAAGGGGAAGTCTGGGGGGATGGTGAAGACCCGGCAGGGCTTAGAGCTGGTGGCTGGGTCGGAGCTGTGTGTGGGGTTGGAGTTAGTGATGATGTCAGCAACATTTGCAGTGTGTGGGGTGACATCAGCAATGGGTGGGGCGATGCTCTCTCCACAACTGCCTCATCTGCTCCACACTCCCCACTCACCCCACCACCTTTTCCTGCATCCGGAGGAAGTACTACACCTGCCCCTACACCTCCCCTCTCACCTCCATCTAAGGCACAAAACGAACCTTTCACATCAGACAGACATTCACCCGCACATCTGTCAATGTGGTCCACTGCATTCACTGTTCCTGATGTTTTCATAGAATTTCATAGAATCCCTACAGTGTGGAAACAGGCCCTTTGGCCCAACAAGTCCACACCGACCCTCAGAACATACCATCCATCCCCATCCCCATCCCCATCCCCCTAATCTACACATCCCTGAACATTACGGGCAAATCCACCTTGCCTGCACATCTTTGGACTGTGGGAGGAAACCAGAGTATCCGGAGGAAACCCACACAGACACAGGGAGAATGCGCAAACTCCATGTTGCCCAAGGGTGGAATCGAACCCGGGTCCCTAGCGCTGTGAGGCAACAACCACTGAGCCACTTTGCCACTGTGGGCTCCCCTACATCGGTGAGGCCAAGCAGAGGCTTGGAGACCGTTTTGTAGAGCACCTGCGCTCTGTTTGCAACAAATGACAACACTTTCAGGTCGTGAACCATCTCAACTTTCCCTCCCACTCCCTGGGTGACATATCCATCCTCAGCCTCCTCCAGTGTCACAATGACGACATCCAGAAGCTGGAGGAGCAGCACCTCATATTCCGCCTTGCTCTCAATGTGGATTTTACCAGCTTCAAAATCTCCTCATCCCTGCTTCCTTGACCTGATACAAACTGTACATCTTCTCTCCCGCCTATCTGCCTTACCCACCTCACTGACCAACCCCACCACTCCCTACGTGCACTCACCTATCCCCATTCAACCTACGTTCCCCACCCCTCCTCTCCTCTCTCCTCTCTCCTCTCTCTATTTATTTCTGAGCTCCCTTACCCCTCCCATTTCTGAAGAACGGTCCCGACCCGAAAAATCAACTTTCCTGCTCCTTCGCTGCCTGGCCTGCTGTGTTCCTCCATCTCCACGCTGTGTCATCCCAAGCCCCGCCTTTTGGGCTGCAGGCCCCGCCCCACCTCCGGCCACCAGCGCCCCGCCCCGTAGGCCAGGCCCCGCCCCCCCCCGCCCCGAAGGCCAGGCCCCGCCCCGCCCCGCCCCGAAGGCCAGGCCCCGCCCCGCCCCGCCCCGAAGGCCAGGCCCCGCCCCCCGAACGCCGCCGGCTCCCAGCCGCTTGGATTCAGTCAGTTCGGGTCGCTGTGTGTAGGTCCGTCATGGTCTTGTGGGACACGGTGGAGGTTTTGCAGTGATACTGGGCGTTGGCCAGTTCTCTGCTGGTGACAGGTGAGATGCTGAGGTTTTATTCCATATCAAGTCGGGGCCGGTGGAGCTGCGCTCGCCCGATCGAAAGCTCCTCGGCTCAGAGGCAGTCGCTGTTCAACGAACTTTCTGGAAACGGTGGGCAAAATTTTGGCGTTTGAACGCGAAATGTTTGTGGGAGAGGCGAGCGGTGTGGAGCTGGCGGCAAGGTCTCGATATTGAATTATATGTACTTTAACGGGGTCGAGGAGTGGGGGGGTGTTTGTAGGGGAGGAGTGGGGAATTAGGGATGTGGGTGTGGGGAGTGTTTGGAGTAGAGGGTGTGGGGAGGGGACAGAGGGGTTGGGGATGAGTGGGGCACGTGGATGACATGGGGATGTGTGTGGAATATGGGGGGGGGGGGGGGCAGATATGTGGGTTGGGGTGTGATGATAGAAGATGATTAGGAGTTGCACCCCATATTTACCAGTGCCTGAGTAGAGAGTGAGTGGAAGATGATGAGAACTAAGTTACTTTATTTCATAAGAACATAAGAACTAGGAGCTGGAGTGGGCCTTCTGACCCATCGAGCTTGCTCTACCATTCAATAAGATCATGGCTGATCTTTTCATGGACTCAGCTCTACTTAACCTGCCCACTCATCATAACCCTTAATTTGTTCACTGTTCAAAAATCTGTCTTTGCCTTAAAAACATTCAATGAGGTAGCCTCAACTGATTCACTGGCAGGGATTTCCATAGATTTGCAACCCTTTTGGTGAAGAAGTTCCTCCTCAACTCAGTCCTAAATCTGCTATCCCTTAATTTTGAGGCTATGTCCCATGGCTCTATTCTTCAAATATTAAAGCCACAAAACAGGTTGTCACTGACAAGAGGAAACCAAAGAAACTGTTGTTGTGTACCACTATAACTTGGTGATGTTGAAAATAAGATGAATTTGAAATTGGATTCACGTAACATAGTTAGACCATAAGACCATGATATAGGGATCAGAATAATGCCATTTGGCTCATTGATTCTGCTCTGCCATTTGATCATGGCTGATATGTTTCTCAGTTCCATTTCATAGTAATCAAGAACACTCCAGCATTAGGATCAAGATTTGACCAATTAAAGCAACTTTTCTTTGTTGCATACAGTAGTTTAATCTAGAACCTTGCCATAAGTTACTTTATTGTTGGTGTGTACTCCTGGTTTATGGGTTTAGCAAAAATTGGGCAATTTGTTTCCTGGTTCAACTTATTTTAAACAGAAAACAGTTTTTCTGCCAAGCATGTTTAACCAGCCTGACTTCTTATTGCCTAAATATATGTTTTGGAATGAGTTTGACTAGTTTGTTGTCATTTGAAAAATGTGTAATGGATCTGGAATGTGCCCTGCAACACTCTGTTACCCCTGCAGTTTGCAGATCTGTTGTACATTTTTCAAATTTGATTTTATTTATTTATTGTCGCACGTATCTTCTTACAAAATGTAGTTGTATAATGTGACCATCATAAAACACAGAAAAATACAAAAACAAGAAAAGAAGTGTATAACTTTACAATCCATCTTAAGTACTTTGTTATGGGCCTGGTGGCCAGGCATGAGTCTGCTTCGCTAAACAGCTGCAGCATAGCCTCCTTATTTTTAAACTACATCCATCTAGCAATGAAGGACAATATTCCATTTGCCTTCTTACCTGTTGCACCGGCACACCAACTTTTTGTGATTCATGTACAAGGACACACAGGTCCCTTTGCACAGCAGCATGCTGCAATTTTTCCTTACATTTACCGACATTGTACTCCATCTGCTAGGCCCTTGCCCATTCAGTTAACCTATCTATATCCCTCTGCAGATTTTGTGTCCTCTGCTACATATAAATGTAGTGATTTAAAGTAGTATATTTCATCTTACAAGGTACAGTTTTTATTCTGTTGAGAAAGACTCTTGGGAACCTAACTCTAGGTTTAACATTGATTCCTGTAAGACCTTAAGACTTTTGGAGTAGTGTGTGCAATTCTGGTCACCCTGCTATATGTTGTGAATGTTGTGAAACTTGAAAGGGTTCAGAAAAGATTTACAAGGATGTTGCCAGGTTTGGAGGGTTTAAGTTACAGGGAGAGCCTGAATAGGCTAGGGCTATTTTCCCTGGAGTGTCAGAGGCTGAGGGGTGACCTTTTATAAAATTGAGGGGCATGGATAGGGTAAATAGACAAGGTCTTTTCTCTGGGGTGGGGGATCAAAAACAAGATGGCATAGGTTTATGGTGGGAGGGGAACAATTTAAAAAGTACCTAAGGGGTGGCTTTTTCATGCAGAGGGTGTAATATGGAATGAGCTGCCAGAGGAAGTGGTGGAGGCTGGTGTAATTACAATATTTAAAAGGCATCTGGATGTGTATATGAATAGGAAGGTTTTAGAGGGATATGGGCCAAATGCTGGCAAATGGGACTAGATTTATCTAGGATATCTGGTTGGCATGGACATGTTGGACTAATGGATCTGTTTCTGTGCTGTACATCTCCATGATTCTATGACCTGAAAATTGCAGGTTTAAGTGAAACAACTTTAAGTAAGGACTTCCTGTATGTTTCACCCCTGAAGCTATGGATAGTGATGGGAGAAGCTTCTTTTCGTCGCATGGCTGACCAGAACCTCGCTTGCTCTTGCTACCTTCCATTTTGTATAGTTGGAAGGTTTTACAAGTTGATGTTCAACCTATTTGTCCACATTATGAATGCATCTTCTTTAGCCATCAAGTTCTGAAGTGGATTTAATCCTGGCTGCAGCTCAGGGGCATGAAGAACTGTGGCACAAAAACCTTATATGTAGGGTTAAACGACATTAAAGAAAACAAGGCACTTTTTGGAGGAAGAGCAAAGAGGTTTTCTGATGTCTTAGCCCAAGTTCTTCCTGCAACAGTACAAAAAACCTGAATTTTCCCTTGTTATTTACGAAATTCTCTTGTCCACAATAATTGACTTGAGGTGTTTTGTTAATGTGATGAGGCATTAAATGTATCAAGATTTGCTCATAAAGATATCTTTATAAAGACGAAGAGTAATTCCCCCGGTCACTAATTCTCATGGATCATGTTTGTTTCATTTGGAAGATTTCGCACTGGCATTCATTTGTTGATACCACCAAAAAAAAAGTTTCATGAGATTCTCTGTGACTGTGGGGCTGGTTTTGTGTTGACGCTGGTTGTATTGTCAATGCAGCCTCAGTTCCGAATCAAGGTCTAGTCCGAGTCAACAAAAGTTGCTAGAGGAAGTGTCTCGTTCTGCAATGCTGTACAGTCAGCTGGGGTTTAACTCTGCAATTGCGGTCCTTTGCTACTTTGAGCTATAAGCTTTAATTTTAATTCAAATGATTAAAAGACATATAGCAGCCTGTCATTACTTTTGTAAGTGCTTCTTTTGATTTGTAACAAGGTTATTACAATTTTTAAAGATGTTCCAGCTAAGTGAACTTTCTTATTAAGGTAGTGACAATAAAAGCAGTGTTGCAAGGTCATTGTACCTGTGGCTATATTGGCCATGTTTGCCTTTGTTAACAGACCGTTGTGATAGGATTTAATCAACAATATTTTAAACACTTTTAATACTGAATTAAAAACTGAATGCTACAGAAATTGCAAACGTATAATGCTGGAAACCCCTAGCAGGACTGAAAGCATCACTGGAGCAAACAAGGTAGCTTAAAATTGCAGCTTGGAATTTTCATTAGAACTCGTCATCCTGAAATAATTCTTTCCATGGAGATAGCCTGATCTGTTCAGTGTTCCAATTTATGGATGTATCTAATAGATTAATATAATGTAACGTCTAGCGTGTTAGTGCAATCTTGCAGTTTTTGTGTTAATTTGCTTCTCATTTTCACCCCATGCTACTGGTTAGCAACCATTGAGAAAAAGAAACAATGTGTAAGTCCTCTATATAAAGGATCCCCCTGCTTTCCAGGATGTGTCTCACCTCATGCTTTATTCTGCACCCTTCAACCACTAAAACTGGCCTGTTTCTTTGTAAAGGCAAAGATGCCATAGTCTTACCAGACCATAGGCTTGCTCTGGCATTAGAATGAGGTGACTGACGGTGGCTTAACCTGAGGGCCACCACATTTGTAACTTTAGCTAGCGTGGGAATTGACATCAAGCTGTTGGTATCACTCTGCGTCACAAAGCCGTCCAGCCAACAGAGTTAATGAATCCCCCTTATCTACCTCTTGAAGAAATAACGGTCATTTCATGTGGCCGCTGAGATATTGTACTAATTGCTAGACTCTGTCTGCATGGAGTCCCTGTCTGCTTATGCACAATGGCATATTAATATGAATACCTGAAATGTATCTTTTTTTCTCCTAGAGACTTGCTGTTAAATGAGACAATAAACTTTAGCAATATACCTTGAGTGTTTAAATTCCTGGTGGCGATCTATTCTTGTTTATCAATCCCGGTTTGCAAGTTTTTCTTTCTGTCCTTTTAAAGTGTTATTGTTTGTCTTTAAATTCACAAAACCATTCAAATTACTCTTTTTTTTTGGTTTTAATTAAGATTTAAATTTTCCTGGGATTTTATTTATCTACTGATTCATGCCCTAATTTTGGGGATGACATTCTTTTGCATCAATTGACCCCTGTTTTAGCTGTAAATATTTTGTGATGCTTGTAGATAATTGAGTTTATTAATTATTGACCTCTTGTGTTACCTCAGTTCTTTTCTGACTGCATCAGTTAGATTCTAAAACTAGTTGAGCTACTATGGTGTTGTTCTTGGGCAAAAAGATGAAAAATCTGTGTCTCGTTCAGGATAAGCCTTTAAAATCTACATACTTGTCACTCATTCTGTCACTATTCTGGTTCTGCACTTTCCAGTTTGTTGGGTGGGGTGGAGAATGGGAATAAAATGCACTCCCTTCTCCTCCTCCTCCTCCTCCTCTTCTTCCTCCTCCTCCCCTCCCATCCTCTTCCCAAACTCAGTGTTTCTACCTCTGTCTTCAGTTCATTTGTTTTGTATTTTTTGTTTTCTTTGCTGTAACAGTCTCATTAAGTAAATTTCCTATTCCTGTTCCTAAGCCTAGCCTTCTTCAATCTCCGTAAACAGAAGTAGTATCCAGGCAAATACGCTAGCAAACGGTAGCAAAGGATTAAATCTAGAGGACCGGACTAATCATCTGGAGAGGCACATTCAAATTTCATGATTGTGGCTGGGAAATTTAAATTGTTAATTAAACCAGTCTAAAATTAACAGGTAGGAGACTGCCAAAGATCTTGCTCAGAGAGGTAACCCTACTCTTTACTATAATGTTTTATTTTGTGTGTGGCTACTTGTTGCTTTTATGTCAATCTGTATGACAATTAATATTTGATTATCTGAGACTGAAAGTGCATTTCTGGTTTGCCGTGAAGCCTGCATGCCATGTTGCTCCATCTTGACAATGGTACAGGAAAACCGCAACCTGTTTTGATCTTGAGCAGTCCCAAAGTGCTTTGCAACCAATGGAGTCATTTCAATATTAGTGACTGTGTAACCATACGATTGTTGTAAAAATCCACCTGGTTCATTGATGTCCTTGAGAAAAGAAAGTCTGCCATGTTTATCTGAACTGACTTCTATGGACTTCAAGTTCAAAGTAATGTGGATGACTCTTTATTGATCTCTCAGCTTTTTGCAAAACAGCGTTCTGTCTGTTCTCCTCTTTGTGCTGTTGTGGCACCCCCGTACCCTTGTATTGTTGCTCTGCCCTCGTGCTCTCTTGTTTTACCTGCATGAGAACCTTCTGTCACGCACCATTTCTGGAAGATCTGCAGTGCAGCAGGTAACTTTACAGTCTCTAAAACCTGCTTTTTAAATGGGGGATACTATGGAGGTTGGTGTGTATGAATCTGAAGAAAGGTCACAAGACTCAAAACATTAATTTTGTTTTCTCTCCACAGATGCAGCCAGACCTGCCAACAATTTTTGTATCTCCAGAATCCACACTTCTTTGTTATATATGCATTGACTCCTTGTGTAGTTGAATGGATAAATATTCTTATCTCTTCTTTAGCCAATTTCATACATGACAGTCACAATTACCCTTTCTCCTGTTGTTTTAATGATTCTACAGGAATTGGGCTAATTTTTGTAAGACGATGGTGTTCTGGTGGGGTTTGTAAGAGTAAAGCACAACTGGATGGAAAAACAGTGATCGTTACTGGCGCTAATGTTGGGATTGGAAAGGAGACTGCCAAAGATCTTGCTCAGAGAGGTAACCCTGCTCTTTACTATAATGTTTTATTTTGTGTGTGGCTACTTGTTGCTTTTATGTCACTCTGTATGACAATTAATATTTGATTATCTGAGACTGAAAGTGCATTTCTGGTTTGCCGTGAAGCCTGCATGCCCTGCTGCTCCATCTTGACAATGGTACAAGAAAACCATAACCTGTTTTGATCTTGAGCAGTCCCAAAGTGCTTTGCAATGAATGGAGTCATTGTCAGCGCTGTTGCAATGTGAGATGTACATGTTGGAATGTACTGAACTTTGATTTCTGGGACACTGCCTTATTACTTACTTGAAGGTAAAAGTTGGCAGAATTGGCAGAGTGAGAGTATAAAATTATCTCAATAGTTCCATCAAATAACCAATATAAGGGCTAAATGTTCACTTCATTCGCTGTTTTGCTGTAAGTTGTCTTACTTAATGAAGAGAATTCTAACAGCCTCCCTTTCTGGTTGCAGGGGCACGTGTAATATTAGCTTGCCGTGATTTGGAAAAGGCCAGTAAGGCAGCTGATGAGATCCGAAAAGAAAGTGGGAACAGAAATGTCCTGGTGCAGAAACTGGATTTGTCGTCACTTCGGTCTGTGCGTTCCTTTACAAACAAAATTGTAGAAACTGAAACACGCCTGGACATCCTCATCGATAATGCAGGTAAGAGCAGTTTACGGCACTAGATAAAGAAAAATAATTTTATTCATAGCAAATCTTTTAATTTTCAGATCTTTCAAAATGCTTTTCAGCCAATTAGTTACTTTTGAAGCATATCTTTTCGTTGGCGTGCGTATGTTTGAATTAATATAAATTATATAATTTTTAATGTGGGAGCATTGTCCTAACTAAAATTCTTGAAATAACCTCAAGCCATTTAGTTCAGATTCAAATTTGACACAGATGCACCCATCATGCAAGTCAAGGCACTGCGTTAATGAATATTAGCAAACTTTTATGAACATTTTGAATTAAGAGCAGAATTAGGCTATTCAGCCCCTCTTGCCTGCTCTGCCATTTACTAAGATCATGGCTGATCAGATTGTGGCCTCAAATCAGTGTTCCTGTCTACTCACAATACCCTTTTGGAGTGTGGTGAAACAAAACATTTGCACTCCTCTAACAACTTAGGGCTATTTAAGTACTTGTAAAACATACAAGTTGTCATGAACAGAGGACAGATTCATTTCCCTCTTGAAGCCAGATATCCAGAACCCAGTTTGTAGACAGCAAATCTTTACTTTGTTGAGGCAAGATTCCTTCAGTTTTCATGCTGACAGGGGTCTTTGCCCTGGAAATTAGGCTTTCTTAGATTCATCTATATTCCAGCCCTGAAGTAGGAATATGCCCTGACTTTCTACATGATAAAAGAAGTATTCAACATTGTGGCTCCTGGAACTTTATTTTTAATACCCACTTTGGGATTAACCCACCCTAACTAACAGTTATTGTTGAAATCTAATTTGTTAATAATGTAGTAATAGTTAATTTCGTTCGATTTGTTAGTGTGCATGCATTGCCTTAAACATGAAACAGTGCAGTGATCTGGAGTGTTCACTTTTTCTTCAAAATTAATAGGCCACCACTCTCTAGTGTAATGACCATATCTTTACATTTTCTTTATTTCTGGATTGTGGAAAGTACTGGTCTATCAAGGACACTATGGAATGAGAATGGCAGCAATTTTACAAGTTATGTTTAAAGAAGCTGTTTGCAGCATTCAAAGCAAATGGAGGCAACAGGTACATAAGAAGCAATGGGCAGAATCCAATAGGGACCTGAACAACGTGGACTATGGCAAGAAGTCAGTGAGGCCTGTCTCAACTTTGGGAGCAACTTGCTGCATCTTTTAAGCCCCAGGCATTGAAATGTGATTCTCACTTGGAAGTGGTGATTTGTTTATTATGGGGAATTATTGCTTGTTAACAACTCTATAAACTTCACATCTTGCCTCATTAATATGTAGCTTCTAGGCCTACCATCTGTTGCGAGCAAACTAGATGCTGAAAGTTCTAACATTGCTAGCCAGAGTGCATACCTGATGACTTTGGCTTGGTGCTGGCTGTGAAAAGCCTCCGTATTGCCTAAGCAACAGCAATGCAGGGCATGATCTATGGGCATCAGCCTCGTGTAGCTCTCGTCCATGGACATTGGCATCTGATATTTGCCAACCCCTCAGGATCGTTGTGGCACCTATCCGATCTCAGGAGTAGGATGCATAGAAATCCCAGAGTTGCATTACACTGCACACCAGCAGCTAGTATTGAAAGGCTGCTGCAAGGACGCACTGTATGCAAGGACGGGCGCATATCTCTCAGGATAAGGCTGGTTGTTTGCTGTCATAGTGCTTGCTGACTTAGCACCAGCCTTCATGCTCACAGCATCCCTACCCTTTTTTTTTTGCCTTGCCTTGCTGCACTTACTAGCACGGTTAACACAACCAGGCAAATTGTCTTGCTGCATGACAACTATTTCAATTTTGCATCTGCACCACGCACCAACAGCTTACACAGCAAAAACACTGCATGTCTGGCAAGGAAACAGCTATGCCTCAGTCTTAGGGGACTAATTTTCACCAAGGTCCATGAAGCACTCATCAGTCAGGGGATCCCACCACAATGTCGAGATCAGTCTGTGATACCAGTCCAGGGGATTTACTATGGTCAGGCATGTGGTTGGAGTGTACTTGGTCAGGGGTCTGTCCTCTGCCATTGGGGAGTGGATGACACACGGTTCTGTGGTTCCATTGTGTTCAGCCTGGGGACTAGGGCCAACATGGCCGGGAATATGCAAGGCAGCATTCGGGGGCTCAGCATTTCTCATCAGTTGTTTTGGTTAGTTAGCTAATGGGGTGGGCCACAATCATTCTGCCTGGACTAGGTGGACTGCTGCTGTGTGAAAGGGCTTTGAGAACCTAATTGCAAGAACTGGGGGTTGCAGGCTGGGGGATAGTTGGGGGGAGAGGGTAAATGCGGTAAAGCATAGATGAGTGATGTAATATTGGGGGGGACCGGCAGTGTGACGACGACATTTGACATGGTCCCCTCATGTTGGGTGGGAACCTGCGGAGGTGTAAAGCCTGTGGGGTTTGTAAGAAAAGCCTTCAAGATTGGGATCTGGGTGTTTAGGGCCTCACTGGCAGAGGCTGGAAATCACTTCCTGAAGAGCGTTCATTCCAGCCTTCCATTGTACTGGAAATCAAAACTGTGCACTGTGGGGGAAAAAAATGATTGTGACTGCCTGGAGTAGGTGTAGCAAGTGTCTTCTCCGAGGGAGAGGGTTACAAAACCCGCTAGTATGAGGCCCATTAGAAGGTAAGAATATTACACCTAGACCTATACACTGTTTGGAAGGCAAACGTGTGGGTTCTCTAATCCCTAATGCATTGGTTCCATGTGTGCTGTACATCTTCCTGCTCCACCTGTTTCTGACCACTTTGTAACCAATGGTTAGAAATGGTGTTTAATGAAGAACACTGACAGTGGGGTTAATATGGGAGTTGCATTGGAATGGTGAAGCGTTGGCAGGATATGGAATTATTTCAGGATCCCTGCTGAAGTGCTTCTGATTTTTCTTTTCCTCCTGGTTAATAGGATTCCCCTCTCCTAGTGGCTGAGGTGATGACATAGTGGTAATGTTACTGTACTATTGCCTTTACAATTGCCAGGATTTCATAATTGGTGATAAAAAGTGATGACGTTTGCTGCCGAATTGTATGAAAACTGTCTACGAAGATCTAAATTTGTGTAGTGTGTATTTCTCCTTTTCTTTTCTAATCTCCCTTGCTCTCTAATCTTTCCCTGACCACCTGTCCTGTTCCACCTGATCCTTCCCACCTTTCCAATAGCATAACACCCCATAACTTTTCCATCCCTCTCATAGAATCATCTTGGATTTGAATTGTCAGTTCTTTCGCTGCTCGTAGTTGCTGCCAGACCTGCTGAGTTTTTCCAGAATTTTCTGTTTATGTTTCAGATCTCCAGTGTCCAGAGTATTTTGCTTGTTTTCACTTTTCCTGATGCTGGTTTAAATCTGACATCATGTCAGATGATCTCCAGCCATCTAGCCAGTTATGTCAGCAAGCCAATCACAAACATTTTCCAAGACAGTGAAATGTGCTGATATTTTTTTTTGCTTTAAAATGTTTATGTAGAATTATATAATGTAAAAATTTGATTATTAAAGCTATATTAGCTTTGCAGAGCCAGAGGGTTTATCAAAAGAAGTTATGAATGTATTCCACCATTTGAAAACCCAATTTTAGCTCATTAACTGATAGTTTTGCTGTCATTACTCCAGGCCAACATAAAGTTACATACAGCCTGGTCCCACAAGAACAAAATGACAAAAGTGGCCAGCTAATCAGTTTTAAAGATATTTGTGGAACTTTGCATACTAGACAATACACCAGGACTGCAATATTCTTCCAATAGCAGCAAGAGATCTTTACATCTTCCTGAGAGGATAAACCAAGCCTTAGTTTTGCATTGTATCTGGTCAGTACAACACGTGTTCTGTTAGGATTTTATGGTCATTCAAATCCTTTTTATCAAGAACCTACAGCTCATACTTTCTTTAAAGTACAGTATTGACAGCTTTTTTTTAAACTTGATTTGAAATAATCCTCTACAGATGGGAAAGTACAGGCTAAAACTGAAGTGCATTTTGCTTTACTGCTGCTGGTTTTTTCATTTTGCGAGTCTGCTATCTGGTGCACAGAATGTCTTGTTCTCACATGATGTTTTTATTTGTGTCTCCAGGTATCATGAGGTGCCAAAGTGGAAGACTGAGGATGGGTTTGAGATGCAGTTTGGAGTTAATCATTTGAGTCATTTTCTCCTAACGAACTTCCTGCTGGACCTGCTCAAGAAGTCTGCACCGAGTTACTGTGTCCAGTTTAGCCCACATCCGTGGTACATTTACTGCTTACTTGCAATGGTGTGGTGTTTTGTGAAACCCTATAGACTAGGAACATTCCAGTCATCTCCCCACGCGCCCCCCTCCAAAAATCATACTGAGTAGCTGATTTTGGGGATAGAAGTCAGATCTTTGAAGCTGGAGTTTCAGTAAGATGGGGAAAGCAAGAGGTGGGGAGTGAGTAATTAGCTAGGCTCTGCATCAGTTAACCAACAAGCCTGATTAACAGTGGCAGGCTGGATTTAGCTCGGCTGCAATGGTACCTTGGTTTGAACAACTTGTGTGCTAACAGTTACTGTTAAATTCTACTGTAATTCATTGCCACTTTGGCTACATAAAAGTTATAACTGTGGGGTCTTAATCTAACAAAGCCAGGAAGGACAGAAAGATGAAAATGCATGAAGGCAAACAGCAAGGACAGAGATCTCTCAAAATATACATCTCCAAATCAAGGCCAGAGATAGAAATCACTGAGGCCCAGTGCAGGTCCTGACCCAGGCGTTTGGGCCCAGACCCAAAGACATCTTGCCTCCGGAGCTTCTGTCTCTAATTACTACTCTCGTATCCTCCCCCTCCACCATCAACTTCCTCCCCACCGCCAAAAAATGCAGGGAGTGCAGTGAGCTAGCTAAATTAACACTTTGTAAAATCGAATAGCTGAGAAATTGAAATAATCTACAAGCCGTTGATGCATTCTCACTAAATGCACAGGTTTCCGAATGCAATAAATGAAGGAACCTATCACCTTATTCACGTCTTAAGTCAACATTGCAAATTCCTTATTCTTGTGTACTGCACTAAAAATTTAAAAAATAACCACTGCACCACTGGAAGCCCTGAACACTGCTCAACATAAACTCCTTCACACCCTGTAAGGCCAAAAGCTGGGGCTGTTTTGATAGAAATGTAGATATTAGGAGTAGGAGTAACCCATTCAGCTCTTTGAGCATGGTCTGCCATTCACTATGATAATCCAGTTCAGTCATCTGTTCCTGCTTTTTTCCTGTATCCTTTGATCCCTTCAGCTCCAATTTCTAAATCCAACTCCTTCCTGAAATCATACAATGTTTTGGCCTTGCCTACTTGCTGTGAAAGTGAATTCCACAGGCTTACCACTCTCTGGATGAAGAAATTTCTCTTCATCTCAGTCTTAAATTGTTTATTCTGTGTCTTAGGCCGTGGCTCTTGGTTCTCCCACCGTCAAGAACATCCTACGTCTGCCATGTCTAGTCCAGTTAGAATTTTAGAGCTCTCCATCAGATTCCCCCTCATTCTTCTAAACTCCTCCAGTGTATATAATCTGAACCAATTCATCCTCTGCTGATACGTCAGTCCTGCCATCCCAGTAATTAGTCTGGTAAACCTTTGCTTCACACCCTTGGCTACAAAAACAACCATCCTCTGATAAGGAGACCAAAACTGCACACGTTATTTCAGGTGTGGTCTCACCAGGGCTCTATTTATTGGAGCAAGTCATTCCTGCTCCTGTACTCAAATCCTCTCGCAATGAAGCCCAACATACCATTTGCAACTTGCACTCCCTGCTGCACATGTATGATTACCTTCAGTGACTGGCGTACAAGGGTATTCAGGTCTCATTGCACATTCCCCTGTCTCAATTTATAGGCATTCAGATAATAACCTGCACTACTTCTGTTTCTGTTACCGAAGTGGAATACCTCACATTTAGACTAATCATACTGCATCTGCCATGTATTTGCCCACTCATCCAGCTTGTTCAAACTACACTGAAGCAGGTGGCACCACCCCACCCCATGGTTTGTGCCATTTGCAAATTTTTCAATATTACATGTAATTCCCTCATCCAGATCATTAATATATATTGTGAATAGCTGGTGTCTTAGCACTTTCTTGATGAAAATTGATTTCTTTCAATACTTCCCTCTCAGTAAACCCTGTGTTCCCAACATTTCTCATATGTTACTTATGTTCTCCTTTGTGACCATAGAATCAAATCATGTAATTAGTTGGTCAGCCATTTCTTTGTTTCCCCTCCCTCCCCATTATAAATTCCCTTACTTCTGACTGTAAGGGACCTACGTTTGTCTTCAATCCCTTTCTCTTTACATATGTGGAAAGCTTTTACTCTGTTTTTATGTTCTCTGTAAGCTTATTTTGGTACTCTATTTTCCATTTAATCAATCCTTGTGTCTTCCTTTGCTGAATTCTAAACTGCTCCTGCTTCGCAGGTCTGTTTTTTTTCCTGGCCAATTTGTATATCTTGACCTTGAAACTAATACTATCTCTAATTCCTCTTGTAAGCCATGGTTTGGGCACCTTTCCCATTTTACAGTTTCACCAGACAGAAGTGTTGCAGTTGTCCCATGTGCTGTTTGAATGTTTGCCGTTGCCTTTTCACTTTCATCCCTTTAATGTTCCCAATCTATCATAAGCAACTTGTGGCTCACACCATCATAGTTTCCTCTATGTTTAGATTCAGGACCCTAGTTGCCAAATCAACTATGTTACTCCATTTTGATGAGGGATTCTATTATGGTCGCATATCCCCTCATGCAACTAGATTGTGCAATGAGAAGGGAATAGCTGACAATACCCAGAGTAGGATAGCCTGTTCTCTAATTGGTTCCTCAACATATTGATACAGAAAGTCATCCTGTATATACTTAAGGAATTCCCTTTCTGTGGTGGTATTAGTAATTTGATTTGCCCAATCTATACGCAGATTAAAGTCATAATTGTGGATGTTCCTTTATTGCTTGGAGCTCTAATTTCCTGTTTACTGCCATTCCCAAAATTACCCCTACAGTTTGGGGGTCTATTTACAACCCCACTAATGTTTCTTGCCCCTCTGTGTTTCTCAGCTCTTCGTACAGATTCCACGTCGTCAGAGTTAATATCCTTCCTCACATTTTTGGTTTAATTTCTTCTTTAATGAACAATGTAATAGCATTGATTTTCCTTTTTGTCTGTTCTTCCTAAATGCTGACATATTTGGAGCTTTAATTTCCTAAGTTATCAACTTCTACTAATTTCCTTAATCAGCATACAGTTTTTAAACTACAGTTTTTACTACAGAAGCTAACAGGTCTTATTCTGAGTTTTAAAACTCCTAGTTGCAGAACTGGTAAACTTTGGTTTAATATTCCAGATTCTTGAATTGTCCCAGTGGTTTACATGTAGTAAGTGCAATCCCACTCTCCAAGACCAGTGAAATAGAGAAAGCATGCACCTTGGCTTATTTATTTGACACCAATAGTAAGGAAGCACTAGAATCTTATCATTTTTGCACACTGCCAAATCATATTAAGATTTTGAGTCAGCATAATCTTATGAAAGCAAAATCATGCTTCACAAATGTATTAGTGTTTTTTACACAAGTAAGAAAACATTTAAGAGGCAATATGTCAGTGTGTATTTGGACTAGTTAATGGGTTGAAAATAAAACAAGAGTAATTGAGTAGTTTTTGGGTTGGCAGGCTGCAATTAGTATTTGTACTTCAAGGATCAGTGCTTTGTTCTCAGATATTTCCATTATATTAGTGACCAAGTATGATGTATCTATGTTTGTTTACAATATAAAATGAGCTGGGAAAGTAAGCTGTCTAGAGGACACCCTGGAATGAAGCTGTTTGTATGTACATTAAAGTTTACTTTATTGACCAGTTCTCTCATTCTGAAGAAGGGTCATTGGACCCAAAATATTAACTCTGCTTTCTCTCCACAGACGCTGCCAGACCTGCTGAGTTTTTCCAGCAATTTTTGATATTGTTCCCTCATTCCAAGAATTAATGAGAGGAGAAAGGGCCATATTCTCTGGAGCTTAGATGAGGTAGTGGTCTCATTCCAATATTTAATGTTGAGTGGTCTTCACAGGACAGGTGCTGAGAGTTTATTTTTCCCTGCCTTATGAATCTAGAACTAGAGGTTCGGATTGCGAGGAGGAAAGACTTCTTGGGGTGTAATTTTGAAATCCTCTGTGTCAGACAGTATTCTGATGTGACAATGTTTGGAAGCTAAAAAAGCAAGTATCAGGGTGGGAAAGTGGAATTGAGGTCCAAGATCAGCCTTAATTATATTGAATGGTGCAAGTTCAAGAGCTTACACAATCTACTTATGCACCTTCTGAGGAAGGGTCACCGGACCCAAAATGTTAACTGTTTTTTTTTCTCCACAGATGCTGCCAGACCTGCTGAGCTTTTCCAGCAATTTCTGTTTTTGTTTCTACTCCTACTCCTGTTTCTTGTGTTAATTTGACTACCTCTTGTTTCGAGACTTCTCTTGATGTGGTTATAAAATAAACGTTTGTTAGATCCCTTGCAAGTAGCTGTATTATTCCCATTATGCTCCTTGTTCTCAATTATCTCAACTTCCAGTAATGAAAAATTTGTGCTCTCTTGTGTCCTCGCGATTAAACTACAACTTTAACTAAAACCAGGAAATTAACTCCAAAGCCTACTTTAGTGTTTAATTAAAAGCTTTCAACTTCATTAGCACATGGGATTACTGATCTTGGAAGTCCAGCTTTTTAATTCTTCTTCCTGAATCCTTGAATTCTGCTTCAAGGCCTCACAACACTTCCTCCTTATGCCAATGTGGACTATGACTTCTTGGTGACTCCCTGTCCCCCAGAATGACATAGTTAACTCTGGCACCAGGGAAGTACTGTACTAGCCTGGAGTCACATTTTATGCTGCAAAAAAATGCCTGTCTGATCCCCTGGCTATGAAATCCCCTATCTATGGAATTTTAGAAGATGGTGACTAGTGCATCGGCTATATCTATAGCCATCTCCTTTCAACACTTTGGGATGGAAACTGTCAGGTGCTGATGACTTATCAGCTTTCAGCTCCATTAATTTCTCCATTTTACGAATACTAATTTCCTTCAGTTCCTGATTCTCCCTAGTCACTTGGGTCTCTAATTCTGGGAGATTTCTTGGATCATCATCAATGAAAACAGACACAAACAGGCACCCTTCCATTCTTCTTTCCTTCTTGAGTACTTCATTGTGCGC